AACCATTGAAATTTATAGAATCTGAAATGTCATATAATTCAGAGAAAAGAACAGCAAAATGAATTTTTGAAAGCTCCATGAACTATTTCTTTCTTTCTTTAGCCATTAATGACATAATAAGAGGAAAGCTATAAAACTTTACTGTTGGATTGTATTTTCTTTATAAAGACTAATGTATGTCTTAGACCAAAAGGAAAAAAGAATCTTCTGCCTTATGTACTATATTTTATTGAAAACCATCTAAATATGATTTCAGGGATATACTAATAGTCTGCAATTAAAATATATTTTAAAGAAAAGTTTCTAAGCTATCAGAATTCTGTCATGATATTGATCTTTCATGCACTGGTTGAATTTCCTCAAAGGTACCTCCAAAAGAAGAAGGGTGACTGATGAACGGGGACTGCATGTTCCTTTGGACTACGGGTATGCAAAATAAGGTTTTCCTTTTTGTTTTCCTCCATGAGTGTATGCATGTTTGACGTATGAGTTCTTACTCTTTGTTAATAACAGAAGAAACTATGCTGCACAGTATTAATTAGAACAGAAGAGCCATAAGGAAGAACAAAAAGTTGATTTATTAGAAACATGAAAATAAGCCCATTATCACATGAAAGTATTGCAGTGCTGAGGAAGGGCATGTGAGGCCAGTGGGAATGTGACTAGAAAGACCCAACAGCAAGTCATACAGCAGGGAACAAGAACTGCTCTGTCAGAAGGCTTTGTTAAGGCAGAAATAAAGGACAGTGAAAGACATTGTGGTCAAAGACAGAAGGATTCAAGCAGAGATTAAACTGTTCTAGTTGTAACTGATAAATTCAGATTATATGTACATGGGCCCCAAATGGCAAAAAGCCATGTTTATTTACTCTTCCTAGAGATTTTCTAATATAAGGAAAGAAAATCCATACACATTGACACATTACTAAAATTTTTATATTGTCAAAGTAATTACACTTACGATTTCTAGAAATTTCATGGTTTAAAGTCTTCAAATTAAGTCTTTAATTTGGTATATGTATTAGCTAAAAATTTTAGTTTTAATAATAAATGTACCTATTGTATGATTCGATGTTTATTTTTGTTTTCTTTGTATTTTTTATATTTTCTGAAGAGCATGTGTATTTTGTATTTTGTTGTCTATTTTTTAAAAGCTTTCTTAAATTCAGCGTCTTTGCTTATTTCTCTTACCTGTAGCTGGCAGCGAGAGACGAGAGTAAGAAACTTTGGAGGGCACCTTCAAGGAGAAGTAGCATATTATGCTCCATGTGGAAAGAAACTTAGGCAGTACCCTGAAGTAATAAAGGTACATACTTTTCAGCAAATAGCATACATTTGGTACCAATTAAGTATGCTAATGTAAAGAAAAAGTGCACTTCTTTCTCTGAAAAAGTTCTTTGATACAAAATATTCTCTTGTATGGGTCTAATGTACTTTACCTAAATCGCTCTCCTATAAATCTATATAGCCTCTTTATAGAATATGCAAAACATTTCCTGAAGCTAGCTATACATCAAAGCTGGGTTGTAATTATTAAAACCTGAAGTGGAAAAATATGTGATTTTTTCAGTATCTCAGCAGAAATGGAATAATGGATATCTCAAGGGACAATTTCAGCTTCAGTGCAAAAGTAAGAGTGGGTGACTTCTATGAAGCCAGAGATGGACCGCAGGTATCCACCTTTTAAAAAGTATAGTTTTTGAAACAAAAAGTAGTGCCATAACCTAAATAAAGTAAATCTAACTGTAATCTAGAGGATTACCTTTGGTTAGCTAACTTGCATAGTCAGACATAGAACTTTATGGTAATCACTCACTAAGATCTCAATTTACTTAACTGTTTCTATAACAGGGAGCTTTGATGTAATAGATGCTTTTCATATTTAAGTAAACTTTCCTGCTTATTAATTCAGTCAATAATTTTATAGTTTATATAAATATAAAAAATATCTGAATGAATTTACCCTGAAAGGTAAAAAGAGTTTTAGAAAAACAGATTTGAACAGGAATTCCATGTTATTGTAAGTCTTTCAATGAGAAAAAAAAAATAGATTTTTGGAAGGACTTTGTCAATCTAACCACACATACTATATGAAGCATTTTTCATAAGTTTTTTAATTTGGAAAGTAGAGATTCTTAAAATTAAGTGAGTGGAGTTTCTGGTGTTTCACAGGAATTTTTTTAATTAATTATGTATATTTCTGAATATACTACAAGGTTCACTTTGGACTTGGTGAATTAATCACACAACATTACCAGTCCCTAAAAAGAACTTTCCAAGACTACATTTCCTGAATGTTCTCTTTAAGGTTTCCCCTTGCTCCTTGCTTATATTTAGTATAAATGCTTATTAAATTCTTTTGCTTCAATCAGCTCCATTGAAAGAGTTTGTGATTTAGGGAACAGTGAGACCTGGATTCCTATTTATCCAGGCACAGATTTTGTTGTTTAAAAGCAACAAAATAATATTCTATTTCTTTCAGTTTCTTTATTATACAGAGAAATAATAGTCACTCTTCTGCTTAATAAGGTTATAGCAAAGTTAAAATGAATTAATATGTATGAAAATCTCTTGAAAGGTTAAAATGGTCGGATAAGTGAAGTTCATATTTTCATGACTGAACTGTTTCCCCTTTGGGCACATTTTAAGGCATGGAAACCATTTTTCCCCAAGAAACTAACATTTTCTCTGTGAAAAGGCAAGTAGGCTTTTCCATCTTGTCTTTTGCTTTAATTTTATAGTGCAAGAAGTTTGCCAGCTTAAAACATTAAGGGAATCCCAAGGTCACATACCCTCAACAAGGCAGAGATGTAACTAAATAAATACATAATTTCTTGTCCTTTTCTTTAAATATTATTTTTACATATATGTACCTTTATACATGTACATATATGTATAATGCATTGAGTCCATTTAGTGGTGGTCTTGTGTACTTGTGTTTAGGGCTGCCCACTTGGGATTAGATAACCTCTCAGGGAGCTAGTCCCTGGAGAAAACTGATTCTCCCTCCCTTGATATACATTGCTTGCCTATAGCTCTTCATCTTGAGGTCCCGTGACATCCCCCCCCCATCTACCTTGGCATTTCAACTGGTTTTGTCATTATGCAGATATCTGTAGACTACCATGCTGCGGAAATTTTATTGGTGCAGCTTCCCTATCGTGTCTAGAATGCATTAACTAGCATCAGGTATCTTGTCCCTCTGGCTCTTATATTCTTTCTGCCCTCATCTTCTAAGATGTTTTCTGAGTTTTAGGTATACAACTTGAGGTTGGACACCTCACAGACACTTATTCTCTTCATTTGACCAGTTGTGGAACTTTATAATAGTCTCCATCTGTTGTAAAAATAAGCTCCTTTGATGAGTGGTGAGAGGTACACTTATTTGTAACTATGAGGATACATATTTAGAATACAGTAAGGAATTACTTTGATCACTTGTCACTACTAAGGAAGTGACAGAAGTAGATTTTTTTCTAGGGTCCTTGACCTTTCCATCCATGTGTACTTGACATGTTTATAATACCACACATGATTTCCCTCCCATTGAGTGAGCTTTACATCCAATTAGACAGCTCAGTAGCTCCACATCTTGTGTCTAAAATATGTCATGTCTAGTAAATAGGGTCTTTAAAGTCCTGGGAGACAATCAAGGGCTATAGCAATAAGCTGTAGTTTGTGGGGAGTCTCTTGCAGTACCCTGACCAACAACTCTAAGAGGAGTTTCCTATACCCGGTGCTGTGATTTTTGTTACATAGCCATCAGCTGTACACATACATTCTCAATTATATTATATTGTAACTGTCCCCCCTCTGCCCCCCAGTTAAAGTACTCCCTACATTTTCCCCATTTCCCCCTTGATAACCCTTTTCTACTATCCCCTCTTCTTGACCTACTTCTTCCTCTTTACCTTCATGATTCGTTTCCATTTTCCTGGCTCCTGCAGTTATATTAGGACATATACTCACATCTAAGGATTTGAAGCTAAAATCCACAAGTGAGAGTATGCATCACTTGTTTTTCTGAATCTGGGTTACCTCTCTTATTATAATGCTTTTCTTGTTCCATCCATTTACCTGAAAATTTCATGATTTCTTTTTTTCTTTATCACTGAGTAGAACTCCAGAGTGTAAATGTATGATATTTTCATTATCCATTCTTCAGTTGAAGGCTATTTAGGTTGTTTCCATTTCCTAGCTATTGTGAAAAGAGTGGTTTAGTTGGCTCATATGGTAGATCTTCTTTCAGTTTCTTTAGAGTTCTCCACATTGATTTCCATAGTGGCCGCACCAGTTTGCAATCCCACTGGCAGTGTTTGAAGACCCTTTCCCCACATCCTCACCAACATTTGTTGTCATTTGTTTTCTTAATCTTAGCCATTCTGACTAGGGTAAGATAGAATCTTAAAGTAGTTTTAATTAATTTCTAAGGTTGGTCAACACTTTTTAAGGTATTTCTTAGCCAGTTTTATTTCTTCTTTTGAGAACTTTGTACTCAGATCTGTACTCCATTTTTTAATTGGGTCATATGTTTTCTTGATTGATTTTTTTTTTTTTTTTTAGTTCTTTGTGTATTCTGGAAATTAATCCTCTATCATGTATAGCTGGTAAAGATTCTTTACCATTCCATAGGTTACTTTTCATTCCATTGGTTGTTTCCTTTGCTGTTTAGAAGCTTTTTAGTTTAATAAGGTCCCATTTGTGAATTGTTGACCTAAATTCCTGAGCCAACACAGTTCAATTTAGAACGCCCTTTCCTACACCTCTATCATGTAGGGTACTGCCTATGTTTTCTTTTACAGTTTCAGTTTCAGGTTTCACGTTGAGCCTTTGATCCATTTGCGGTTTATTTTTATACAAGGTGATGCATGTGTGTCTAATTTCATTCTTCTGTGTATGGAGAGCAAGTTTCCCCAGCATCATTCATTGAAGATGCTGTCTTTGTATTCTTGGCATCTTTGCCAAATATTACGTGGATGTAATTATGTGCATTCATTTTGGGGTCTTCTATTTTGTTCCATTGTTCTGTATGTCTTTTTTTTTTTTTTTTTTTTTTGCTAGTACCATGTTGTTTTAAAGTTAAATGTTTTATTTGCACTTAATTTGGCATCAAATTTTAGAATTTTATTTATTTAATATACTCCCTATGTACTATTTCAGGTTTTAGTTGCAAAACACATTAGAAGGCAATCATTTTTAGTCTTTGGTTTGTGTTACCGGATTTCTTTACTTATTTATGCCGAAAGCATCCTTATGTTTTAAAATTTAACAGATTTGTGCTCTGAGAGGAAAGCTAATTGCTTTTCAATACATGATGGATTTCTAGTATTTTATCAATGATAGTTAGACTTAATCTATAGTCACATTACAGAAAGCCAAATGTTCTTTGACATTCATTCACTTTTTATTAAATATGATCAATGTTCCCCCAAATGTGTATTATCTTGTTGAAATCAATTCCAGTTAACAAAGTTAGATGAGTCACTAAAAGCCATAGTATATTAAACTGCAAACATTTCAGTAGTGCTAGGGGAAAATATTAGCAATTTTGAGAACAGTTTTTAGTTGAGAAAAAATTAGTGAATTAGAATCATTTCAAATTCTTTCAGAGAACTATGGTTAAAAGTAAGTAATCCAAAAAGTATTTTATTTACTTAATTATAAATGCTTATAGTTAAAAAATTCTTAGTTGCAGCCATATAAATTTCTATATAGTACATCATTTATATGTATAATCATATGATTAATTAGAAACCTATATAATTATGTAAGATTTTTCTGTGAAAACTAACAAAGATTATGTTTTTGTTAGAGTACCTGGTGGGAAAGAAATTTTTTCTTATTTTTAATGGTGAAAACAAGAACAAAAATACCTAAAACCAAAACTTGTAGAACCACTTATTCTTGCCTCTTTTGAATCACTCCTCTTCTGACCTTAGCCTCCTGTCTGGCCTTGTGCTTCATACCAGGGTCTGTAAAGACATCCTTGTTGACCATAGTTCTGTCCAAGGGGATATCCATTGTATATCTTGTAGACATGAGGTGATTGTAATTAGAAACTTTCACAAAGACTTGATCTTTGACTATTTGGCAATTTTTTTCTGCCCCTGGAAATTGTCATTTTGTTGGGATTCTGTTCCATTCCAGCCACCAGAGCATGGCTATAGGGGAAGTCTGAAGTGCCATCATTCATGTTACTCATAATAAACGTGTTGCAACCAAAGTAGCATCCAGCCTAGACCAGCACTGCATTCCCAGATTTCATGAACTTGTCCATTTCAACAACCAGCAGGCGCAAAGCAGAAAGAAATTTGAACAGCTAAATTTTTTGTTACTGTGTTTATAATATTACTTTAAAAAATACTTTATTTATTATTTTTATTTTATGGGTATGCATGTATTGCCTGCATGTAGGTGAGTGCAACCATGTCGTGCAATGCCTCCAGAGGACAAAAGACTGTTGTATCCCCTGGAACTGGAGTTATGGACAGTTGTTAGCTGCCATGTGGGTGCTGGGTTTCAAACCCTGGTCTTCTGCAAGAACAGTCAGTGTTCTTAAGTGCTGACCCATCTCTCCAGCCCCCAATGTTTCTAACTTTATGCAAAATATATGTTTGATGATCAGCCATTTATTAAAAACAAAACTGTAAATATTAAAAAACCAGAAGAGTC